TGCTGTGCTGTGCTGTGCTGTGCTGTGCTGTGCTGTGCTGTGCTGTGCTGTGCTGTGCTGTGCTGTGCTGTGCTGTGCTGTGCTGTGCAGTGCAGTGCTGCGCGGTGCTGTATTTTGCTATACAATCGTTCTGTTTAAGTTTGTCGCATCAATTCTACCATTTCTTCGTTAATCATCATTTTCTCACTGACCTGTCGTATGTTTTTCAGCTTTCAATCGCACTAGAGTCCGCAACTAACGACACAACAGCAAGCACAGCCTTAAGCCTCGCTGCGTCATCCACTTCTCTCTCCAACCAAGAGAACGAAGACGACGAACCAAAAGACCGCCCCATGACAGAAGTAGAAGAGTGCTGTCCCTGGTGCATGAAGAAGGCGTCCTGCAACTGGATCACTATATGGAAGCAGACCCGGTGGTATCGAGCATGGAGACAAACCCGTTTTACTGTAAAGAACTTTGTAGAGCATCGATACTTTGAATGGGCAGTGCTTGTAATTATCATGGGCAGTAGTTTTGCACTGGTGAGTTGAAGTACAGCTTATTATCAAAGACAGCTCGTGCAAAGTTTCATCAGTTAAGACATCAAACAACAACTACAGCATCAACGCGGCAGCCATGTTGACTGGAACAATGGCTTTTCCCCTACGCAATGTCGTATACAAGCGCTTAAAGATGAGGTCAAACGCGTAGTTAAACAAAGGTTTTTATTCTTATGGGAAACGTGGCAAACAAACAAGTTCCATCATCTTTTCATTTTCATTTTTTGTTTTTGTGTGTGTGTTTTGTTTTTGTTGACGCAAGCGTGAGTGTCGTATATAAAGTTTAAAAATGGTCTCGACATCGTTTCGTATGGTATTTTAAAGTTCCACGCGTATGTGTATGCACTAATTCATACTCGTAATTATCCATAGAACGAGTCGATTGACGGAAGACAAAAATCCCGAAAAATAGCAAGTTGTCTTTGACGCGCAATTATTAAAAAAAAAAGGTATAATTTACATTTTTTCGTTGCCACGTGTAGGTTTTCGAGGACATTAATCTGCCATCTCGTCCAAGACTTCAGCAAGCCTTGAAAATCTTGAACATCTTCTTTGCTGTGGTATTTAGTGCCGAGTTCCTGCTCAAGGTTTTCGGACTGGGTCTGGTGTCGTACTTTAAGAATTTCTGGAACTGCTTGGACGTGTTCATTGTCGTTGTAAGTAACCTTTACTATTTTCTTTGGATGAGGTCTGGTAACGAGTGCGTACCGCAAGGAGTTATGGGTCTGAAATGAGAAAAAAAAAAGTGAAAAAATTAACTCAATCCCATACTGCAACGTAGAACATCTCCGTTACCACTCCTCATCTAATAAAGGAGGAATAAATTTTTCGTGGTGTGATTTCATTTCTCTGATATTCGAAACATAAATATATAAATAAATATCGTCACTCACTGATGATTTTCATAGGCGCCATGTTGGATGAATTTAACAAAAGATTCCTCATTAGTTTCTTTTGTTATATCCACCAACATGGCCGCCGTATCTTTTGTTACCTCATCCTCTTGGGAATGATTGCAAATGCAACTTACTCCTCTGAGAATTCTTTGTGGCTGGCTTAGGATCGTTGTAAACCCCGTTTTAAGTGATTGTATTATCTTACTTTTTAGATCTCCATAACCAGTGTCATCACAGACTCCACGGACTCCGACAGTAGTTTGTCATCATTTCGATCGCTAAGAACATTGCGTGCCTTAAGACCGTTACGGGCTATCTCACGTTGGGAAGGAATGAAGGTAAGAAAATGTCAGAAAAAACTGACCCCTTGCAGTCAGTCGAATGCAGCTCAATTTGGAGGAAATAACAATAGGTTTCCAATTCTSWKGAGATTGAAATTCTTTTGTTTTGTCCTCCAAATTGAGCTGCTTTGACGTCACATGCAAGGGGCCTATTTGGAGGATATAAAAATAGGTTTCCAATTCTGTTGAGATTGAAATTCTTTTGTTTTGTCCTCCAAATTGAGCTCCTTTGACGTCACATGCAAGGGGTCTTTTTGGACCAGTTTACTTGATCACGTGATTTACGTGAAAGCAATGGGAATCGAGGAATCCTAAATATTTTTTTATCTCCCTGAAGGTTTGTTATTTTTCACATTATTTAAGCAGTTTTCGTATAACTGGGAAAAAACTCATCGTAGAAAAGGTGCCGTGTCCGAGCATTTTGATTGGATGGAGAGTATCCTCACGCGCTATGATTGGTTAAATCTATATCGTCAGTTCCGTTTCCATTTTCAATTTCCTGACATGGTAAAATGTTTTCCAGGTTGTGGTCAACTCCCTTCTATTCGCAATTCCTGGTATTGGTAACGTGTTACTGGTGTGCATGGTGTTCTGGCTGATATTCAGTATCATGGGTGTCCAGTTCTTTGGTGGTCGCTTCTACAGATGTGTAGGAATCAGTGGAAGCTTGATCTCTCATGACGTCGTCAACAACAAGAGTGATTGCATAGCCAAAGGGTTTCGATGGGTCAATTCCAAGATTAACTTCGATACGTCATTTAATGGATTTATGGCTTTGTTCCAAGTGGTAAGCGACTGCAAACATTATTATTATTTATTAGAAAATATCAATTGTAAATTCAATCGTAATAGCTGATATTTTTTCTGATATTTTTTAGTCCTGTCTTCCCCCGACTTTCGGCTTTCCTCCATCCGCAAAAGCAATAAGCTAAATTTTAATCCGTTCTTTGAGGAGGCTTGCCCTGGCTTTGAACACCCTAGAGGTGCGTGCCCTGACTTAGATCACCTCAGAGGTTGTTTCAGGGTTAAATCTATGAGTTAGCCAAGCCCTGACTTAGATCAGCCCAGAGGTTGTTTCAGGGTTATACAAAATTATTGTGTCGATTTTTCAGGCAACTTTTGAAGGGTGGATGGAAATCATGCGAGATGCTGTGGACGCCAGAGGGGTAAGCATGGCAAATTTACTATGTCCCTTGCAGTTGTTCACTTCCTCCCATTCATTTCATCACTAATATTTAATACATCATCAATTAATTTTTGTTGGTGGTGTTTTCATTTTCAGGTGGATCTTCAACCAGCAGAGGGACACAACTTCTCAGCTTACGCATACTTCGTCATCTTCATCATCTTCGGTTCATTCTTTACCCTCAATCTCTTCATCGGTGTCATCATCGACAACTTCAACCGCCTCAAGAAACAAGTAAGCTTGATCGATCAAAAAAAATTGTTGAGTGGCGCAAGCCAAGAGAAAATGAACTAAGAGAAGGAATCTCTGTTACTTATTTCATGTTTGTGACCATCATGGGTTTTTTCGAAAAAAGAAAAGCAAACATGAGCAAACAGAGTAGAGCGCGTGCAGAAAAACAATCCGCAATCAAATAAATGATTCTAAAAATAGCATCAAAGATTCTAATAATAGCGTCAAAGAGTGTTCATGATGGGGCGCGGGGATTCCTTCTCTTAGTTCATATTCTCTTGTACAACCCTATTAAGCTTGGATGTGCTCATAAGAGTGTGTCCATACTTAGTTCCTGAGGACGGTCCTTGAGAGTAAATTTACTGTTGGGCACAAATGTGAACACAGCTAATATTGAAACACTTCACCCACGACAAAGGAGGGGTACTGGGCACCAGTACAAGGTTGGGACAAGGTGTCCGAGAACTGTAAGTATGTACATGCTCTAAATATCTGGCGCCCATAATACAGATTGGGCTGCCTGTGGTTAGATGGCAGAAAAATAAAATCCCTTTGCTCTCGGGAATTTAATTCTTTCTCATGTAAAACGATCGTATTGTTCCTGCCATCTAACATGGCTGCCGTCACGTGGTGGTGCAAAATCTCTATAGCATGAAAAAATATTTTCTTCTTGTAGTACGAAGATTTTGGCGCCCTTGATGTCTTTCTTACTCCATCACAAAGAGCGTGGTTCTGCACGTTGAGAAAAGCAGCCAATAAAAAGCCAAAGAAAATGATCAGTCGACCAAAGGTAACAAAGCCATCTATACTTTTCCCCAGTCTCCCTCAATTTACTCTTCTCCTCCCCAGGCTTATTGCTTTTGTTTTTTTCTTGTCCCATCCTACTTCCTCAATTCTGAAGAACCTCAAGCCTCATCACCAAAACGAGGCTGTTAATGACAAGTGGGTTTTAGATTCTAAGGGTTTTAACATGTGAATAATGTTATTTCAGGGCAAGTTAATGGCCAAGTTGTTTGATGTTGTGCACGGTTCTCGTTTCGAGACGATCATTATGGTTCTTATTTGTCTTAACATCTTTGTCATGATGATACAACACTACGGACAGAACGACGACTTCAAGCTTGCTTTGAATATCCTTTGATACGATGTTTGTGACCGTCCTTGCATCCAATTATCCATCTATTAATCCCAACCTTTTTGTCAACCCATCCGTCAATCCTATAACTTCCATTTATTCATCCAATCCAGGTCGATAATAAATCCATTCATTCAATAATATTATCCATTCATCCATCCATCTATCCATCCATCCATCCATCCATCCATCCATCCATCCATCCATCCATCCATCCATCCATCCAGTGCATATCCTATCATGTTGTTAACCTTAACAGATCTTACTGATCATCAACCTGTTTTTTACTGGTGTCTTTACACTAGAGGCCATCTTACGTATCATCGTGCTTAGACTCCATTACTTCAGGCAGCCATGGAACATCTTTGACTTCGTGATCGTCGTGTTATCTATCTTGGGTAAGTTCCCGATTGTTCACTTGAGTGTTTGTTGCTTCATCCTTTTCTTCCTTTCATCCTTTTATTCGTTTTCATTCTCTGTTGCGCTTTTTTTATTCCCAATCCTTCTTCCCTTCTTTTTTTCAAATTTCCTCCTTATCTTCTTTTCCTCTTTCTTTTTTCTTCCCTTCCTTCTTTTCTTCAATAAATCAGCTAATAACTTTGTTAAAGTGTTAAGCTAGTCTTCTAGCAAGCCACAATATTGTGAACAACAAGTAAAAAGAAGTCGTAGAAATATCTTCCCATTTTTCTTTTCTTCATCATTTACTTCTTACTTTTTCCCAGTTAGTTTTTACTACATCTATAATTAAGTATGCTAAACTTGTATTACCCTCACCTTGGATTCGATTCCTGAACTCGGCATCACATATGAGTAAAGATTGTTAGCTCTCTTCCTTGATTCGGAAGTTTTTTCTGGAGTTCTCCGCTTTTTCTCCCTCCGCAAAACCTATAACACGCTTAATTCCAGTTGAACCTGTGACTTAGCCATGCCATAACTTAGTTTAACCCCAAGGTTTTTTCAGGGTTTGATCTGTGAGTTAGCTGTGTCCTGACTTTGATCATGAGTGCAGTGGCTGTTTCAGAGTATCGATAAAAGTTGTTTGAAAGTTTGCACTTCCCTGGCCATTCTCATCACGCTGACACCAAACTAACCTCTTCACTTTTCCATTATTAACCAGGCATTATTCTCGAGTATCTCAAGTACGAGTTTTTCGTAACACCAAGCTTGTTCCGCGTCGCAAGAGTATTCAGAATCGGTCGTCTTCTTCGCTTCTACAAAGGAGCTCGAGGAATACGTCGTTTACTCTTCGCTCTCATCATCTCTCTTCCCGCGCTTTTCAACATTGGTGCGTTACTGTTCTTGATCATGTTCATCTACTCTATCATTGGCATGTCATCGTTTGGTTATGTCAAGCGGACCGGCGCACTCGACAGCGTCGTTAATTTTGAAACCTTCAGTAATAGCATGCTTTTGTTATTCCGACTATCGACGTCTGCTGGTTGGAACGACGTGCTGAAACCTCTGCTCATCCAACCACCTGATTGCGACCCGTACCTTAATGGAATGCCTAATGGAAACTGCGGGACTCCTTGGTTAGCAGTCTTGTTTTTCACTACCTTTATCCTCTTAACCTTCTTAATTATCATCAATATGTACATCGCTATCATCTTGGAGAACTTAAGTCAAGCGCACCAAGAGGAAGAAGTAGGCATCACTGATGATGACTTAGACATGTTTTATTTCCACTGGGAGCGATTTGATCCAGGTGCTACTCAATATATACCACATTCAGCTTTGTCCGACTTTGTGGATGGCTTAGAACCGCCTCTAAGGATACCCCAGCCAAATAAGTACGCCTGTATAAATCTGAATATTCCGATCAAACAAGGTGATCGCGTTCACTGCTTCGATGTCATGCAGTCTTTAGTTCGTCGAGTTTTAGGTGACATCGAAGAAGAGGGTCAAGGAGGTTCGTCCGTTGCGTACACTCTCATGAAATCTAAAATGGAACAACATTTCATCAATTCATTCCCAAAAAGATCCAAGACACGAACTGAGAGTACAACATTGCGCAGAATTCAAGAGGTTCGCGCAGCTTCTGTCATCCAGAAAGCCTTCAGACAGTACTTATTTAACAAGGAGCTACAGAGGTATCGCCTTGCAAGGAGCTTGGAATCTGTTGCTATGATTGAACGCAGAAGAAGCTCAACGGCTCGCGTATTGCCTCGTGTGATTGAGGTTAAAGTAGAGGCAGTCCCAAACGAAGAAACAGTTTGATTTACCTGCAACGATTCTATCACATTTTTCTTCACCGCGCTTTATAAACAGAAAAAGCAACGCTCTTCCTCACTACTCCTGTAAATAAAAGGACAAATTATTTCTGTGGTAAACATTTCCCATTGACTTAAAAGACTCTCAGAAATAGCGCGCCATTCCTATGGATATACCATACGACTATGTCCTTGTCCTTGTTGCCATAGCAACGCAACCACAGATGTAAATACTACAAAATCTGTAAATACCATATACACACCAAAAACTGTTAAACTTGTCAAAGCAGAAAAAATCCAGAGAATTGTACGATTATTTTTTACTGTAGAGTGTCGAAACACACGAAAGGAAAGCAGATATTTTCTAATTTTGTAATAGCGTCAAGGCGCACATTAAAGAGCGGCTTTTTCTACTTTGGTGTCTGGTGGAATTAAATTTTAAGCCTTTGGACGATGCGAAAATGCGCGGGAAAACAGTGCAAGAAATCTCCTAAATCGATTTTTTTTATTGCTGGGTTACCTGTGGAGAGGTACAGGGGTGAATACCATTTACCCGAAAAAACCGAAAATCCCGGTTGAAAAACAAATGATGTGCCTCATTCCAATCGGAAAGTTCAGGAAAACTTTGTCTTCCGATTGTGGTATTTTATTTTTCCCACTCTTCTTGGGTCTTCCGGTAGACGCGTGTTCCATTCGTTGAAAGTCAAATTTTCCCGCGCTTTTCTTAACAATAGCAAACAAATTCCCTAACCATTGGTTAAATTGGTGAGCACCCCAGATTTACGAGATTGCCTTCTCCGCCATATTGCAAAATTTCGAGCATTTTCATTGGTTAAAGTTGTCACGCGACAGTTGAGAAAACTACTGGCTTTCTCCTAAATATATTTATCAAATATTCCCGGTACTCCTTTGCGCACTCGCGAAACTACTACAACAGGGAGCCCAACTACATCCTGTCAGTCATCAAATATTAAAATTTGCTATATATAGGCTAAAATTAAACAACTAGTTGTTCACGTACCAATGTTTACAAATAACAGTATATTGGCGCTTTCCCATATTATTGAAATTTTCAGCTGAAGACATTCCGATGACGTCCAAAGATTTGATGAGATAAACATTGAATTTTCAAGTGATTTCTTAGACTAGATTATGTTCGGCCAAGTTATTTATGTATGCAATAGCCATCTAAAATTGTCATATTAAAAATGCGCAGTAAGCAAAAAAGGGGAAATGGCGGTTAGTGGGGAAGTGCAACGAAACTGAAAAGGTCCAAGAAATGATCCTTGAGGAACGCCAAACCCTTAAGGCAAGGGTAATTGACTATTTTTATCTATAGCTAAGCGTCGCAAATAAGAAAGATCACCCAGGGGGTCAGTATTAAAAAATTCAAAGGTCCTAATACCAATCCTTGGGGAATGCCACATAAACATTATTGAACTATGGATGATCTGTTTTCCTTAAACTAAGGCGCTAAACACAACTTTCATCTAAAGTCGAGAGGACGAGCTGCTCCGAATGAAAAAACCGATACAATAGAATGGACAACACTGCAGAGTTAGTGAAAACTATATGAATCACTAAAGGCAAGGTCAGTTTAAATTTAATTAATTATAAAGTTAAATACATTGATTATTTCATCACAGAAGGGTTATCGGACACTCGATCACTGGAAGTCATTGAGCACCGGAAACGTATTTAAGCAATCATTAATTTTAGCGTTTTGAATGAATATTAAGTCTCGGAAACAATCTTTACATATTTAGCACATTTCAACAAAACGTTTCTTTATCAATCCAGCTTTCACCACTTCGGGTTAGTCTCGTGCTTTTTGACTCAACTGTACAAGCAAAAAGCTGTTATTCGAGTTTCGATTTGTATCTGCAGTCCATACTTGGGCTAAAGCTTCGGCTACGACCTCGGTTTTTGCGATACGTGACGGTAACCTGATTGTAATCTCGAGTATCGGAAGTCTTTGCTATCTTAACAGAGCAGACCAGATCAATTATCCTTCAGAAAATTCCTCACTCTTTAAGCCATTCTTGTCCTCTTTTTAAAAAAATCTGTTTTGCAACCTCTGTTTTCCTAACTCTTTTTGGTCGTTTGCATTGTTCTTGGCGTTCCAACCTGCGTTATGAGTTGAGTGTATCTCACTCCAAACTGCACAATATATACAAAGTACATGTCACGTCCAGCGCAAGAATTAGCCCATAGCAAGATTTCTCTCAGAGCACATGCTTACAATTAAGCCGTTCCTTCAGCCTTATCATATCTAGTCATTTCGTTAACACGCACTGGTATACTGACAAGACTTGAATAATTGTCTTGCGTATTTCTGCTGATGGGTGCCCGCCAAGTGCTTTGAATACCTATCAGCATGCATGGCTCAGCTCGTCTGCTTTGTTATCAGATAATATTCTATAAGAATGTAAGTCGGTAAAACAATAGTCGAAAAGAAGTAATAATTGGATAAACAGCCTAGTGTTACTGAAGCTGGATCGGTTCATTACTGCCTTCATCGTGCGCTGAGATATAGAGAGCAAAATCATAAATCATACTCGAGGTATGTTTGCTTTTTATTCTGTCTTCTTGCTGCTATCAGTCCTCCTTCCTTTCTTTCTTTCTATAGCCTTGCATACACCTTCACCTTCACCTGTCTAGGTATGCATGCATATTCATCCACATCGATCCGTCCGTCCTCACGTCCATCCATCCATCCATCCTTGCCTCCCTCCCTCCCTCTCTCTCTCCCTCCCTCTCTCCC